TTATTTATTTAATAATAAATAAAAATTAAATAAAAAATTATTTAAAAAATTATTTTTATATCGTTATTTTTTAATTTATTTAGATAAATTAAAGCCACCAATAATTTTTATTGAATTAAAAAATAATGACATGATATTTACTTTAAAATTTACTCTTTATTCAACGTTTCGACTTTTGAGGATTTTGATGAGAGGAGAGCTAGAGGCACTCGCCTCCTGCACTCTCCGGCCAACACTTTCACTTTTATTGGGCCACGTTATTCTTCTGGCCATGGGTTGCACTTCGGAGCCTGAAACAAGCTTACGTGGCCCAATGATAGGGGAAGTGCTTGCTGGAGAGTGCAAGAGGCGAGTGCCCCTAGCACTGCTCTTTTGATGATTCTTTTTGTAATAAAAGGATTACAGTGAGCCTTCAATTATACAAAGGTAAATTTTTTTTAATTTGTTTCTTTTATTATAAGTTAAAAGTGTTAAAAAATATAAAAATTAATATTAATTTTTATGTTAGATGAATTTAATTAAATAATTAATCAATTAAATATTAATTTTTAATTTTTTTATATATTTATAAAAAGTATAATTAATGTAATTTTAACTTGTCATAAGGGTACGTATTAAAAAAAAATCCCTACAAAAGTTTAGGGATTTTTCTTGGCAATATACCTTCGCATGTGCTTGTGGGGCTATCAACGCGTTACCATTTGACTTGCTTTTCCAAGTCGACGAACACCTTTCCCCTGCTTTTCCAAGTATTTTCCGGGAAGTTAACCAATTGTCCTGCTTTTTTCTAAACATTTTCTAGGAAGGGGTAAAAATCCGTTTGGGTGTTTCTACGAAGGCTCCCAATGGTCATAATAAGGAGTTCTGGTAATGAAGCCATTCTTCATTATTAGAATTGCTTCTTCGCCATTTTTATAAACTCTCTTTTCTTCCATAACTTTGTTTCTTCTCTGCAAGCTTTAAGATCTTAATTTTCCAGGTACATATATACAAACAAGCTGTTAATTTCTACTATTTTCATTCATTTATTTGTTTGATGCATAAAGACAAATTAAGAACTTTTTTTTTCAACAATTTGTTATGGGATATATGCTTCTGTTTCGTAGATCAGATGTCCTTAACTAATTACTTATAATTTAATTTTCTTACATATTTATTTTTCTCCTCTTGGTTTGATGACAGTTATTTTTGCACCGAAGTACCCTGCGCAAGGACTAAGGTAAGGAGCCAGGTTTGCCTGCTTTCTTGTTATTTTGATCATACAAATTTTCAAGACCTGGTATACATGATAGTTTTTTTCATATAAAAGATTTTAGAGTTTAATATATTTTCCTTTTAAGAATCTCACCTCGTAAAATAAAATATATGGAGGGAAAAAATGTGTTACCATAAATTAAAGACATTTAATGACACTTTCATTTCTTATTTTTTGTTTTAATTTCATGCAAAAAAATTTAGCAACCATGACAACTAGAACTAGAAATCAACTATATACCAAAACCAAAAATAAAAACCGGTAATAACTCATTTAATAAGTCTTCAAAACAAACAAAGCAAAATAAAAAACGTAATTAGTGGGTGGGGTTATTAACCACCCTAGATAATTAATATCACACCTTAAATAGTTAATATCATATTTTTTAAGATAATTACCTGTTGTACCTCTATATTACACTTCTTTCAAAAATTCTACATTTTTTTGTGTCTTAATAAATTGAAGAATATAATAATTAATTAAGATAAAAAAATGTGACATTAATAATTGAGGATGTGATAATAACATCACCATTAATTAGTGCAATAATATTTTTTGTTTCAAAAAATTATAATAGTAATATAATTTATTTATTTATGAGATTAGTGCATATCAATCTTGGTTCTTAAAAAAAATTAAAATTTTAAATTATATTTGGAAACCAAAATTTTAATTTAAAATTTAAAAATTCATCTTGTTAAATATTGATGCTTAGATTTGAAAACGGATTATATATTCTAATATAATTAGTTTTTAAATTTAAATATTAATATTTAATAAGATATATTTTTAAATTTTAAATTAAATTTTAATT